TGCTCCTCCCTACCTGTCAGCTTGGTTTTCTTCCCACCTTGGGCAGCCCTCCTTGGTAGGGACTAGATGAGACCACTGTAGCTCTACATCCTCTCCTGTGTCACTATTGGGGAGTGAGAAAGTCTCTGTTCCACATGGTTCCAACAAGAATTCTGGATTTGACTGGAGGTGTGGCTCAACTGGTATAGTGCCTGCCTAGCAAACACAAGTCCCTGAGTTCAAACCCCAGTAGCACTAAAAAGAAGTTTTGGATTTAAGTTTCCCTGACTTACTGATTCTTTGACCTAATTATACTGCCTGACCCCCTCTGCCTGGTTCTCTTCAGGGCATCAACAGCATCCTCATTGTGGGCTGCCACGTGGCCACAGACCATTAATGATGTAGAGATGAAAACAGCACCATTTGTGGTTTTGAGTAACCTGGGGGATCAAAACCAAATCCTTCAATGGGACCTCACACTCCAGCCCTGTCCACCTTGAAGTCTTCATTTTTCGACCACTCCACCTGGAATTCCCTGGGTGAGCTTTGGTTCTCCTGTCTCCCTGCCTTTGCATTCAGTACTCCGCCTGGAATATTCTGAATACATTTTTCTCTGCCTGGGTTTGTCTGCTAAAGCCAGGTTCCAATGTCACTGTGTCAGCAAAGTCATTTTTGCTCAACATCAATCTCCATGCTGCCACATTCTCCACAAGAATAAGTCATTTCCTCTCTGAGCTTCCTCATTCTCCCAGCAAAAGGTTCCTGTCTGTCCCATGGAGCCCGAGCCTTTTCTTTCCTTCTTTGCATGTGTCTCATTCCCAGATCCTGAGTTCTGGGAACAAGTATTGTTCATTGTTTTGCCCCTACTGTCACCTCATAAGTGCCTGACCTATGGTAAACACTTGGTTGAACATTTGAGGAATTCATTCACTCACTACTGAATTAAAGTCCTTGTAGTTACAAAATGCTATAGAGCATAAACACGCCTATAGAACATGAAATAGCATTGTATATCAAAATATGATATAAATCCTATGTTTAAAATACTAATGTATTAAAGTATACATTAAAAAATAGAAATAATATGTGTATATAAAGCATGATAATTTTTATCCTATTATGGTATGTGGAATGCTGATAGTTTTGAAGAAAACTATCAGCATTCTTTTCATATTCTTTTTCTTATTTACAGATTTCTTGTGACAAAACAAGGAATGAAATAGAGAAAATTGGTAATTTCAAATTCTAATGTCTCTACTGTGGCTGGTTTTAAATGCCAGGACACAAATCTTTCAGTATTAGTCTCCAATTATAAGACAACAATAAAGATATGTACTTGCTACTGTTAATTTATTTGCTGGTTTGATTTCATAGCCTAAGAAACAGACATAAAGCAGAGCTAGAAAAATACTCTTAAAAGGCAATATCAAAATACTCAAGAGAATAAAATGTGAAGTTCTTCCTTCTGAAAGACACAGGAAACTTGGCCACTCCCATTTAAGTTCATTTTAACAACTATTTATGGAACATCTCCATTCAATATTGGATCAGTTATTCATCTATTTATTCAATAAATACTGATTGACCACCAACTATGTGCCAAGCTTTGTTCTAGACACTAGAGCTAGATCAGTAAGTGAAATAAAAATTCTTGCACTAATGGAACTTATGTGCTACAGCATGAAAAATAATAAATAGGCAGATAAATAGAATATTTAGCATGTCAGATCATGTTAAGAACTATGAGAAAAACAAAGCTGTAAAAGATGTTAGATAGGAAGTGTCACAGGACAAGGAGCGTAGGGCTTGCCAATGTTAAATACATGGTGGGGAGTAGGTGACATTTGGACAAAATCTGGAGTGGTACTGAGTGGCTTTTGGAAGAAGGGAAGAGATGTGCAAATGCCACACTTTTCTGTATAGTTCTGTCCTCGTGGATCTTGCATTTCACTAGGTTGTGTTTACTGGTGATGACCTCCACTTTTTAACCAATTACAGGATGCTGACCACTGAAAGAAATTCCCCTTCAGGTGGAGAGGGAACATGGCAATGCTTGAAGGATAGAGACTGGAGGTGATGAAGGGTGAAGATGGTGAGAAGGATAGCATGAGCACGGCAGAGAGGAGCACTGCCTTCTGCAGGGACAAGTTGGAGCTCTGCCCTGCTCTGGCTGACCAGTAAGGGGTAGAGCTGGCTGCATGATTCGATCTATCAACCATGAGAGGTCACACTGGTCACAGGGGCTATAAAAAGTCACTAAAACTAATTGAGCAGGAGAGAAACATGAAGAAACAGGTATTTTAGTAACCTTAACCTGGGGTGGGGTCTAATTAGATCAGAATAAAGAGATGCTACAACAGGGAAGTTATTTAAAATCTTACTTTTGTTATCTAGACATTAATTTATGGACCAGAATGGAAGAAGTAAGAACAGTGATATTTATAAAGGAGTGACATTTATAAAGAATAAATGGCAGGTCTTGAGAGGTGATTAGATCTGAAGGGCAGAGGAGAGGAAGAAGTTAGAGCTGACATACTCATGAAGTTCAGAGAGGGGCGAGCAGATGGAGTCATTCCAAGACTGAGGACTCTGATCCAAAGAGGGTGTAACTCACTCAGGAGCACACAGTTAGCCAAAGACTGTAGCCATGTCCAGATTTTCTGCTTTTGCCCTACATTTAGTTTTAAATACAGGAAACAGGGAAGTAGTGCCATCAGCAGAAATGGATGATTATAGACAGACAACCAGCTTCTAGTTAGGTAGATGGGAAGTTTTTGTTTGTTTGTTTGTTTGTTTTGTATTTGTGCTGTTTGAAGATGCTCAAAGGGAAATATCCAGGTGATAGGCAGAACTTTAGAATTGGAAATGGTTCTGCCCTTACTGTTTTGTGATCTTAGACAAATCTGTAACTTCTCTGAACCTCAGTTTCCCCAGAGGCAAAGTGGGGATAAAGTTGTTGTTTAGTGGTTGTAATGAATTAATTAACTAACTGGTTAATATATAATTAGAAGGCACTTGGAACAGTCCCTGGCACAAAGTGTTATTAGTTGTTAAATAAACTAAGTTAAATGTAACCTAAAGGAAGAGACTGGTTTTCTGGGGAGGTGAAAGGGAGATATGGGGAAAATCAGAGGAGAATTTAGGATAACTAAATTTAGTCTGCATAGAGGTCAAGGGAGGGATTTTATAAAGGTGAAAAATAAAATTGAATATTGTGAAGCTACAAAGAGGAAAGTCAAAAGAGGCCACCAAGTGAGGAAGGGAGGCCTCCCAGAGTTAGCTTTGGACAAAGGGATGGTGAGGAAAGAAGCTCAACTAGAGGGAACTAAAGAGGCAGTAAGAATGAGGAAGAGGGGCACTTGGATGGGTGTTTTTGAAGTTTACCAGTGCTCTGGGAATAAGTCTAAGAGCAGATAAAACTAGAAAATAGATATTTTGCTAAACTAATTCATAACACATTCAGGGTGATTTGTTAAATGACTGTTGAGGAAATTTTGAGTCATTTCTAAGCATCAGGGAATTGACGGCAAGGAGGATAACCTCTAGAGTTAGGTACCAGATACTAAAGTAACATGAGGTAAGATGGAAGGTTTTATGAGTCTCTTTACTCACCCAACATAAGTTTCCCTAGTTGAAAATTCTGAACATTTGAGATGCTCTTATTAGATTATACTTGTGTTTCTGTGAAAACCAGCATATTTTCCAGCTATATGAAAGTGTACTTCATAAACACTAAGAAACTCAGAGAAGCCCATCCGAAAGGTTGACTGACACAAAGCACTGAAGACTCTGATAGAAGTTTTCAATGAGTTACTCCTTTGTGTCTGGACTGAAGAAGCACTTGCAGAATTATTCTTTTAATATTTTTCTATCCAAATGTTTCCTCATAAATTCCAACATAGTAAATATACTTAGCAGAATTTTGCAAGTCAGAAACAACAAATTTCAAAGAAGGAGTCATCTATCCTTTGAATCTGTTTCTGCAGTCTGTGTAAAGTTATGCTTGTGAACTTTGTTTTATCTGCTTAAAGGCACTAATGTGGGGAGGGGGGAGGGAGTTACCAGCTCTGAAGATTTACTGAACTACCTAACACAGCCAAAACCAGTGAAAGAAAGTCATTGAGAAAAGACCACATCCAGTCCACAGGCAATTTCAGCATTAGGTTACAAGTAAACTTGTCTTGGACTAGCACTGTCAACAGGAATGTTATGTGGCCTGCAAATGTGAACCGCATATGTATTTGTACATTTTCTTAATGCAAGCCACATTTTACAAAGGGAAAAACAAACAGGTGAAATTGATTTTATTATGTTTTATTTACTTAACCTAAATATCCAAAAGTATCTTTTTAAACATGCAATTAACACAAAAATCGTTAAGATATTTTTGTATCATTTTTTTCATACTGTCTTGCAAATGTAGTGTGTATTTATTTTCCAGCCCATCTCAATTCAGACTAAGCAGAATTTCAATCACCACTTGTGACTGACTTGTGGTTACCATAGCTGCACAGTGCAGTTTTGAACCCAAAATATAGCACCTTAGTATTTTTCAAAAGCAAGTTGACGAAGACATTAATGATACAGAGAGTGCCCTAGTATAGGACAACCTGGAGTGAGCCAGCAACTTGAAATAAACACGGGCTTTTCCATTCCAGTCACTATTGGGACTTTTATGATTTCTTCCTTAAGTTGGACTAGGCTTGTAAAACGGTATGTCAGTCTGAAAGTGAAATACACAGATTCGGTGTATTCTGAATCATAAGAAGGCTGAGTGTAGGTTCCCAGGGAAAAAGCTTTTATCTCGGGTTGGAAAAAGAAAAGAAAATACAATATTCACTCCTTGAATGGATCCATTACACTCATTTAAAGTGTTCGAGGAAGGATGATAAGCTGAGATTGATCAGTATCTTTTTCTTTTTTCTTTCTTTTTTTTTTTTTTTTTAAGGTGCCTTCTTCCAGGAGCAGTGGGACCCCTCAGAAAGACCTGTCCTGAAGGGTCCCCAGGCTGGTGTCTGGACCTAGCCAACTCTGTGCGGCGGCTTAGGGCGCGGGCTCCCCCTCCCCCAAACCCCCAGCTTGCAAGCATTCCCTGGAAGCCTGGCGGCTCCGGGCAGATGGAGTTTCCGGCCTGCGCTCCGTGGTCGCGGGGTCATCCGCCCGCGCTCCTTTCTGCCTGAGGTCAGCCTCCCGGGAAGAGCGCGCATCGGTGGCTCCGAGCATCCGGAGGGCAGTTCCGCGCGGTGTCCCCACCCTCGCCGCCCGCTGCTCCCTCCCTGCGTGCCAGGCCGAGTGGGTGGCTGCGCCGGGTGGCGGTGTTTGGGCCCTCCCCTGGGGTGATTTCAGCGGCGAAGGTGGAAATGCGGAAGTTTCCCTGGCCGGCTGACAGATGAGGCTCGCGGCCGGCTCGGCATGCGCTGCAGCGGCTGTGCGGCGCGCTGGGTCCCCGCTGTCTGCACCTCGCCATCCTAGAAGTCACCGAGCCTCGGGAGGGACATGGCCACGCTGCCCAGCGCAGAGCGCCGCGCCTTTGCGCTCAAGATCAACAGGTAAGGCGCGCCCCGCGGCGCGGCGGTGGCAACTGTCCAGTCCGGGTCGGCCGTGCGCTTCCTCCTTCTACTGCAGTGACCCGGCCGAGTCCCTGAGAGTCCCCCAGGGGCCGCGCCTAAGACCGGGGACCACAAGTCCTCGAGTCCCGAGGCTGCTGCGATGGAGTGACTGAGTGCTCGAGGGCTCCCGCAGAGCTCAGTCGCGTCCTCCCTGAGATTCCCAGGTCTCTCGGTGTCCTCAGCCACCTGTGTCTCTTTCTCTTCCCGCGCCACTTCCCCAACCTCGCCACGCCCGGGCGCCCTCGGGGTTCTGACAGGTGTGGGACCCAGAGAGTGTGATGGGCGCTGAGATCGCCGCCCATCTACTGAGCACGCCATGGAATTTCTTAATAAATTGCTCCTTTTGGGGAAGTTCTGAGAAGGGGGAAGAAGCACAGTGACTGAAATGAGAATTTGGTTTTGAGGACTTTCAAAACTTCTGTGGGCCCGAGGAAGGCTCTTTTTCCCCTCTCTCGTTTTATTATGCCAGAAAAAGTTTGGCTCCCGATGACAGCGCTATTTTTATTCCCTGGTCCAAAGCAGCCAGCCCCGAAGTGGAAAAAAGTGATTTTAAAAAAATAATAATTCTTCATCTGAATAAACATTCCAGCAAAGAACTAAGGACTGGAGAACCCAGCTCACCCTTCAATTTATAGTGAAAATTGCACACGCTAAATGTAAGCACATTTACTGCTCCAAGTTCTCAGCAGAGGTGCTGGAACTGCAGTTTTTCCAACCCTGAAAATTGCTGACAAGTATTTGGGGGCATTTTTGCCATGACCTGAGAAAACTAGACTGGTTAAAAAATAATAAGGAACTCGTCCTGAAGGGTCAACTGTTATTCTGCTGCCCTCCCAGCTCTAGGATTTTTTTCAGACTTCTTTTAGTTGAGTGTGGGGGAGACTGGTAACTTTGGCTTTGTGCTGCTGGTGTGTCAAGTTTGAACTCAGAATAGTGAGGTGGTAAGAACTTCCAGAGAACATATTGAGCTTTATTGGAAATTTTATTTCCACCTGCTGTGTAGCTGTGACCATTTCTCTTATCTTACTGTTTCTTCTTCTGTAAAATGAATTTAAATATTAATATGGACTGTATGTTGACATGGAATGTCCAAAGTCATAAATTCTATCTGGGATCTTCCTTTGGGAATTTTCTTTTTGCTTTGGGGTTATATGGTGGGTGTGTGCCAGTAAGGGCTATTTACTTGGGTGCTAGGAGAATCAAACTGAGGTCACTGATAGATGTCCCACTTGCATAGCTGTTTCTTTGTATCTTTTCCTTATGAATGTTAGGTCAGAAAGTAAGACTTGGACAAAAAGACATTAGACTGTGAGGTTGGGTGGGGTTGATCTGAGATGAGTGACCAGCACCTAGACTAAATCCTTTTAGGCAGTGTTGCAAGCAGCTGTGGGATTGGTATAGCCCAAGGGTTAAAAACAAAGGCCTTGAATCTGGCCTGTAATCAAGAGGATTGAGCCGGTGCCAGTGGCTCACCCTTGTATCCCTAACTACTCTGGGCAGAGATCAGGGGGATCACAGTTCAAAGCCAGCTCAGGCAAATAGTTCTCGAGACCCTACCTTGAAAAAACCCATCACCAAAAAGGTCTGGTGGTGTGGCTCAAGGTGTAGGCCCTGAGTTCAGACCCCAGGAACTCAAAAGAAAAAAGAGGATTGAGAGTTCAGGGCTAGCCTGGGCTACATAGTGAGATCCTGTCTCAACCAATAAAACAAAAACAAGCAAAAAGCATTCTCTGGCTGAAATCAGATTTGCTTGCACATTGGCTCTCTGTTGCAAACTTTGTGACATTAGACATGTTATTTAACCTCTTTAAACTTTGATGTCCTTATATGTCAAGTGGGAGTAGTCATAGCATCTGCTGCAGTGCCTGTCTCTTGTCACTGTTGGTGGGAACAAAGTGCTTGTACAAAAAGCGCTGTCACCATCAGTATTACCACCAACTTCATCATCGTCACTATCATCTGTAGCATTGTTAGCTCTGAGAGCCTAAGGACGACAGAAGAAGTTGGAGTATTTTCCCCATAGACTAGTTTGGGTTGGGTACGGACATTTCTGAGGCCAATTGGAGCTTTCTTGGGGCTGGGGTTCTTCTTCATATGCCTTTTACTGAGTGGACCACAATGTGTGATGGAATCTGACCAAGAAGTGCCACTCAAGGTAAATAAAATATAAAGTGGTCCCTAATCCTCAGGCAAGAATATGGACTGCGTATTTCTATTCTTAGAGTGCTGTTTTCCCTTTTGAAGCATTTTATGTATTGGATGGAAGAATTACACTGAGCTTGGCAGAATTTGTTGTTCAAAGGACTGGGTTAATGAAAATGTACTCATTAATAACAACATGAAAACTCACTGACTGCTAATCACCTACCATGTCTCAAATGCTGTGTTGTACGCTTCATGGATTACATCACTACATTCTCCAAAAGCCCCACAAAACTCAAATGAAGTCTCATACCAAAAAGGCAAATGAAGCTTGGAGAGGTTGCACGGGTCATGAAATTTGTTCAAGGCTGTACAGTCAACAGTAGCACAGCTTGTATTGTACGCTGTTCCAAAGACTGCTCGTAATTGAGCCTATGCTATTTTGATCTATTTATCTTAAGAATTTCCTTTAAAAGCAAGCAAGGAACTACTTTTTAAAAATCATTATTTCAGTAGCAGCATTTGGCAAATTGTCGTTTCTGATAAGCGTTTCATACGTTAAATAACCAACGATGTGATGTTTTGGAATGTTGAAAATGGAAAACAAAATGTTTTCACTGGCATGCATGCTTATTAGTTTTTAAAATAGATTTATTACAAGATAGCGCTGAACTATGTGTTCATATTTTCCTCTTTCTGCCTATAATGATATTGATTATTTAAAATATTTATAGGGTAAAATTAATTTATTCAAGTTAACAAAATATTGAAATCTGGTATTTTAGAATTGTATTTGCAAAGTACTCAGTACCGTGCACACTAACCTCAACAAGGAGTAGGCAGACTGTCTCAGAGTCCTCTGCTGGTTTTAAGTTCTGTGGCTTCCTTTGAGCTGCTTTGTCCAGGACAGGGCCAGGGCCAAAGCCAAGGAAGAACTGTCCCTCATGGTTGTACAGGCTCTCTCATGCTCTTATAAAGCCTAAACTCGTGTGCTGGAAATTATCGTATAGGACTTGTTTTGTGCCCCAAGTATAACTGTGTAACTTGGTACAATTAAGCATTTCTCTGGAACCCACAGCTCAGAGAGATAGAAGAGAAAGATCCATCAGTGGATTTTTCTGAGTTGAAAGAGTGAAATTTAATTTCTTAGATGTTTGACTCCTAACTTCTTATGTGCAAGGGAAAGCCTAGATCTGAATCAGGCAATTCATGATAATGTTAGCATCCAGCCTTATTAATTACCTTTTTGCTTTTGGAATTCAGTGCTTTATAGATTATAAAAATTATGATGAATACTATGAAAATTCATTGTACAAAGTCTTTGTTCCTTTTTTTCTTTTGGTAGTATGGGAGTTAAAACTCAAGGTTTTGCCCTTGCTAGGCAAGCACTTTACCACTTGAGCAATAGCCCTAGCCTCTTTTTTCTTTTTGTGTGGTGTTGGGGATTGAACCCAGGGCCATATGGATGCTAGGCAAGAGCTTTACCACCGAGCTCCTCCCAGCATCATTGGTTTCTTTCAAACACAGAACAGATGTAGAACTTGATCATATGTTAAAGTAAAATAAGAACTTCAAGTAAAGAGAGCAAAAGTATAGAATTCAGGAAGAGCAGTAATGATCCTTTGAACATATGATTGAAAAATAAAAAATAGCTAATATAGTAACCTGTATTAGTGACAGAGGTCACTATGGGAAGGTGACTGGGAAGTAGCGAAGAGGTCAGGTAGAGATGAAGCAATTCGGGTTGTGATACACATGTGCATGGAAGCAATGCTAGGAATCTCCGTATAGCTATCTTTATCTCAAACTAGCAAAAATGCTATGTCTTTCTTATTATTGCTTATGTTGTCTCTTCAACAAAATTGGAAAAAAGGGCAGAATAGGTTCTGCCTGGAAGCAAGAGGGGTGGGAGGGGAGGGAGGGGTTGGGCTCAGGGGGAAGAAATGGCCCAAACAATGTATGCACATATGAATATATGAATAAAGAAAAAATAAAAAAATAATGGCTTATACTTCTATAATGCTTACTATGTGGCAGATATGAGTATATGTCTTTATGTATCATAACTGAGTCACCTCTATGAAGTAAGAAAAACTACCATCTTCATTTTACAGATGGAGTACAGAGAAGTTATGTAAATTGTCCAAAGTCACAAACAGCTAATTAAGGGCTGAGCTGGGATTCACATGCAAGCAGTCTGGTTCCAGAATCCTCTGCTCTCATCACTATACTATGATGCATCTTAGTTTTATTTTAAAATAAAACAAGTAACATTTATGGACTACTTTCTGTCTATATACTGAGCTAAGAACTTTGAATATCTGTATTTCATCCTTTAAAAAAGAGGAACAAAGTATTAGACATACACTCATTATTAGAGTGATTTTATGGAGACCAAACAAGTGCTCAGAAAAGAGGATAAAGTTACATAAAAATTACATTCAAGAACAACCCAAGTTCTGCTGTGCCATTGCACAGTATGGTGACCATAGATAATAATAATGATCTGTATATTTCAAGTATGTAGAAGAAAGCATACTGAAAGTTTTCCCCAGAGAGAAATGATAAATGTTTAAGGAGATACATCTCTTTAATCTGATTTAAACACTACACAATATACATGGTGCCCCATAAATATGTACTTTTTTTGTGTTTTTATATATCGATTAAAAATGAATTTAATTTACCTGAAAAAAGAATAACCACAATAATTGTCATAAGAACAGAACCAGATAAGGTATAGTTCACTTTCGAGAAGTATTTGTTATCTTTTTCTGCAAACATAATACAAGCACTAAAATATATGTATTTCTGTATATAAATTTGTATCTGAAGTTAAAACCAGTGCTGTTCTCTAGCAGTGGCAGTGATAGGGGAGGGAGTTGGTGGTGATTTCATGAATTGCTTCATTTGTCTGATGTGTTCTAAAAGAAGGATTAATCATCACAATCAGAATCTTGTGGAAAGAAAATATAATGCCATATGATTATAGGGAACCTTTTAGGGAGAGAGATAGGGCTCATGGAACCGGGTCTTCTGTTCAACTCCCCACATAGAGCTAGAGTGGGAATGAATTTGAGGACGTAAGAAAAACTCCTAAACTTTCCATCCTCATTAACAGGAACCAGGGGAAGGCAGGATGTGACCATACCCAGACTTCTTGCTGAAAAAATCTA